TTTGCCATACCTTCCTGTTCATCCGTCATGTCCGCGGCCTGAAGAGACTGTAAAATATGTAGCCTGAGGAGATTGTAGGGTCTATGGCCTGAAGAGACTATAGGGACCCCATCCCTCCACTATTTACCGGTATCGAGCAGCGGGGGCGCATCCGATCCCACGATCGTCGTCGCCCCTAAATCAACAACAACTACTTGTAAACACAATGAGGAAGCACACCCTGACAAATTTTACAACATAAAAGGTTCTTTCTCCAATCTTCGACACAGGATCCAGCCGCCCAACCGAAAATCTCATTAACAAAGAGTAGAGTTAAGTATCCGACTGCTTTAGACTCTGGTATTATAGATGCACCATATAATATAGATTAAGTAGCCAGTTATTAACATGAGAAAACCACCACCAAGTACGTTTACTCAGCTCTACTACACACACAAATTCCATGTCATACCTGTACCTATATGTTTAGGGAACCATTATTAATTCCTTACACTCGGCAGGTAATTGTGAGTTGGAGTTACAAGAAGCTGAGCAGACCAATATAACTGTGATTGCAGCCACTAGCTGTACATCAAGCCTGGTAGGTCTCCAGATAGCCCCCATTATGTGACACTCTGAGGCACAGGGCCACACCCAATTCTGATGCTACAATTACACAGCCTTAGCAGGCCCCCACCAACAGTATACCTGGTTGATGGGGTTCTGGGAGTTCTTCTACTCCCCAAGCCCGGCCCGAGGCCAGGCTCGACTTGTGAGAGTTTGGTCCACCAGGCTGTTGCTTGGAGCGGCCCGCAGGGCCACGTACCCACCACAGCCCGGCTGATCCGGAACTTCTCTTAGAAAACCGTCCAGTATCAGCTAAGGCCCCCTTTTATTTTATACTACATAGATTAACTACAGTGGAACCTCTATTAACGAGTGGCTCTATTAACGAGTTTTTCCAGTAACGAGCAAGCCACTCGCAGCAAATTTGTCTCTATTGACGAGCTCGCCTCTATTAACGAGTGAAACCACATGGCGCTTCCTAGCGTCTCGCGGGTTCTCGCAAATTCTCGGACGCCTCCAACGCCAGTGTTGTTGTTGTATCTCACACGACAAGCATCCCTATGGATTTATTTGAGCTTTTCTTTGGGTTTTTAGTGGTTTTGCGACTACAATTTGTAACACATGATGTCTCCAAAGAAGCTGCTTGCTAAAGATAGTGTTGTCAAGAGGAAGAAAGACACAATTACTGTGGATTTAAAGAAGGAAATTATAGCAAAGCATGAGTGTGGTGTCTGTGTGACTGATCTCACAAGGAAGTATGGCAGGTCCTCATCAACCATTTACGGAGGTAAGGGAGGATGCTGCCTCTTCCTCTGAGATCAGCCAGCAACTACTCTTCATAAGGTAAAGTAAATATTAAAACACTACAACAAAACATTTATATTTAAATGTGCAATATTATATTTACATAAAAAAAGTCATACAAGTATGGATGTTTTTGGGAGTGGAACGGATTATATTTATTTCCTTTATTTTAAATGGGGAAATTTGTTTCCAAAGACAGGTAACGAGCTCGGTGCCAGAACGGATTAAACTCGTTAATAGAGGTTCCACTGTATAAGTATAATTACAGTAGAATAGACCACTATATGTGGTATGATTATAATTTATATATTAAAGACTAGGTAAACAATTTGTGGTTTATGAAGGGTCCACCTCAAAGTGGTTTAAGCTACAAATTGTCCCCACAGTAACTGTGTGTGAAATATTTTAGCAGGCTGAATCAGAATATATACAGTCCACTACTAACTAACTAAGAACTAACTCAGAAGAAAAATAATCAAATAAAAATAATATAATATTAAAGTCAATTAAAAAATAAAAATAAAGTAAATACTGTATTTGAATATTCACAGAAAAAAAACAATTAAAGCTTGCTAGGATTTTCCCACATATGCTGCAGAAATTATCATACATGCAAAGTGATCTAGTATAAGTTGCAGCAGGCACATGATGTTGGTGTGACCTTGGAGAGTTGTCGATAACATTGATCCAGTGTTGGATCAATGTTATCCATGTCTATACAATGTCATCGATAAAACTAAAATTATTGAGAAAATGCACTAGGGCAATGAGGTAGGAGCAAACCTATGACTTTGGCATTGTCAAGCTGCATACTCGTAGGTTCGCATAGGCAAAGTCGTAGGTTCGCGCCCACCTCATTGCCCTAGTAGATTTTCTCATTGATATATATCACGTTAATGTGATTTCTGTATGTTAATAAAATTATTTATCTATAATTACTGCAATTGTTAAATAAAATTTCATATAATGCAGTTGAATACTGAAACAATTTCAGAAACAAGTCATATTTACTCACTTTGGTTCGTTTGCAAATTTTAAATACAAGCTAATTTTCCGAGCACCTTTATCTAGTGGGATCACGAACACCATATAGTATAATGAAGCTTTTGTAGTCAGAGAGAAAAGTCATTCCTGTTAGATGGCTGATCATATAATTCAGTACCAGAGATGCCCATTTATTCAGGGTCACAAGAAGTCGATGCGGTGAGGGGGTCCAAAGAGAGGTCTGCGGAACCCAAACCTGAATGCAGTCCCACTTAATCGTCCTGAAAACACCACTGACATCACCAGCAGCCTCTAAAAGCTGATAACATACACTTTTCCTATCCAGTTTTTATATACAGTAAAATCTTTTGTAATGACATGTAAGGAAATCAAATAAATAACTTTTGTACTCTTGCTTAAGAAATTTAGAAAAAACTGCTTGTAAACTACTGTATTCATATTTATAATGTTTTCAAAGTGTGTGCATGTGTGTACAGTATACAGCACCATATATAAGCTAATATGGGAATATAAGCCAGATTTTAACATGGATACATTGCCAAGTATAAACTTGTATCTCTTTAGATGTACTTCATGTGGTTTTGGGGACACCAGAGCCCCCATTGCCCTGGTCTCTCAGAGGCCTGGTTATTGGTCTCTGATCAGGCCTGGTCATTGGTCTGATCAGGCCTGGTTATTAGTCTCTGATCAGGCCTAGTTATTGGTCTGATCAACCAAACTTTTGGTCACCACTGTTTGTTGTCTAATGTTGAAACCACAGCCTGGTTGATCAAGTACCTTTTGTGTTAATAAAGTTCTCTTCTTGAACACAAGTGTTAATAATGCCCCTAATATTTGAAGGAAGATGTTAAAAAACCTTGGGCCATTAATGTTTGCAAAATGGCCCCTTCCAGTACTTTTTATACATCTACGGTTGAATTGGGTATTTTGCACATTCTATCACGTCTCATACTTTTATAAGGAATTACTTTGATGTACCGATTTAGAACTTATCCCTGTAATATGTATACAACATGTAGATAATGATACACATTATCTCTTCTCTGCATCCCAGAGAAAATGACTTGAAAGATTTGAAGTGTTGCCAAAAATATAAATATTTTATTGGGTGGATTCTGGCAGTAAATTTGTTCTGCATGTTTTCCACATTACAGTATTATGTAATACTGTATGTTGAATGTAAAAGTAATATTTGTAATATTTAATAATTATATATAAAGTCATGAAGGGTTAATAGTAGTGAAGGAAACTTGGTATACCTTAAACTAGTGACTATATCTACAATACAATACATGTTCAGTTATCTTTGCATGGGTTATCTTGAGATGATTTCTTGAGGTTATCTTGAGATGATTTCAGGACTTTTTAGTGTCCCCACGGCCCGGTCCTCGACCAGGCCTCCACCCCCAGGAAGCAGCCTGTGACAGCTGACTAACACCCAGGTATCTATTTTACTGCTAGGTAACAGGGGCATAGGGTGAAAGAAACTCTGCCCATTGTTTCTCGCTGGCGCCTGGGATCGAACCCGGGACCACAGGATCACAAGTCCAGCGTGCAGTCCGCTCGGCCGACCGGCTCCCAATGCCTACTTGCATCTCTGAAGGGACATGCCTACTCGCATTTGAAGAGTTGCAAGGGTCAAGGGGCTGACTTTAATCACGGTAGTGTGAGGGTCGAGGGGCTGACTTTACTCACGGTAGTGTGAGGGTCGAGGGGCTGACTTTACTCACGGTAGTGTGAGGGTCGAGGGGCTGACTTTACTCACGGTAGTGTGAGGGTCGAGGGGCTGACTTTACTCACTGTAGTGTGAGGGTCAAGGGGCTGACTTTACTCACGGTAGTGTGAGGGTCAAGGGGCTGACTTTACTCACGGTAGTGTGAGGGTCAAGGGGCTGACTTTACTCACGGTAGTGTGAGGGTCGAGGGGCTGACTTTACTCACGGTAGTGTGAGGGTCAAGGGGCTGACTTTACTCACGGTAGTGCGAGGGGTCAAGGTGCTGCTTTTACTCACAGTAGTGTAATTACCTAAGTGTGGTTACAAGGACAAAAGTTACCCTTGTGGTTTCCTGTCTTCCCAGTACTCTGTCACATAATACTTTGAAACAACTGATGGTTTTGGCCTCCATAAACTTCTCGCTTGTTCCAACCATCAACCACTGTGAGCAAAAGTGAACTTTCTAATATTTTTTTGGTAGCTTTGTTGTCCTTAGTTTGAAGACATGGCATCTTGTTCTTGAAGTTACAGTTTTCAAAAATTCCTCTTTGTCAGTTTTGTTGATTTCTGTTACTATTTTGTGTGAGGGTAGAGGTGCTGCCTTTACTCACAGTAGTGTTTCCATGAGTGACTGAGAGCAACCAGTCTACTAAGACATATGCCAAATGTGATGAAATGTTTTATTAATTAAACCATGTGTTACAGTATCCTGCCATCATAATAAACAGAATCAGTATATATATCTCCACAAAGATATTCCCACTTTTAATTCAAATTACAAACTTCAGAAGGTGTATCAAAACTGTGTATTGGTATCATTAATTGCCCTCAAAAACTTGTGTTGCCTGTCACCACGCAATACTGACACCACAGGACATATCATAGTAACTAGTCTGTACATTAAACATCTTGATAGTGAAAGTCAACTTACTGGTAGTATGGCGAATACCTTCCCCCATGGTACGAGGGCTCACTGGAGGGTGTTCGCTGATGAAAGAATAGTAGCCCGAGTCCTTCTTCTCCATGCCCACACGGCCTCTTCCTCCTCCCCGGCGAAGTTCAACACCGCCGGTACCCATGTCGACACCCATATCCAGCCCAGGGTCATTGTTCGCCTGTAATGTAGTACATTAGTTTAATAAACTCTTTACAGGACAATTTTTCAGTAGTTTTTTTCTGAGAGGACTCCCCACTGTATCATCCCAAGTTACCTACTTGGAATACTCACTGTTCCAGTATTCATAAAACTATATATATTGTATTACTGTATGTTCATAAGTCTAAAACATTTACGCCATTTTTTCTGTAATGCATCCCTGCATAAAACCTGGGAGTTGCCTCCTTATTACAGTATATTCTACTGTAATCTTTTTATTTTCATATAATTACAGAAAGCCTTCCACTACTTATGCTTGTTAACATTTTGTAAACCTTGACTATCCTTTTAAGATAAATGATATCTAGATTTCTTCTTTAAAAAATACAGTAGAGTGCAGTAGGGTGAGGGTACAGTACAGTGCAGTAGTGTGAGGGTACAGTACAGTGCAGTAGTGTGAGGGTACAGTAGAGTGCAGTAGTGTGAGGGTACAGTAGAGTGCAGTAGGGTGAGGGTACAGTACAGTGCAGTAGTGTGAGGGTACAGTAGGGTGAGGGTACAGTAGAGTGCAGTAGGGTGAGGGTACAGTAGAGTGCAGTAGGGTGAGGGTACAGTAGAGTGCAGTAGGGTGAGGGTACAGTAGAGTGCAGTAGGGTGAGGGTACAGTAGAGTGCAGTAGGGTGAGGGTACAGTAGAGTGCAGTAGGGTGAGGGTACAGTAGAGTGCAGTAGGGTGAGGGTACAGTAGAGTGCAGTAGGGTGAGGGTACAGTAGAGTGCAGTAGGGTGAGGGTACAGTAGAGTGCAGTAGGGTGAGGGTACAGTAGAGTGCAGTAGGGTGAGGGTACAGTAGAGTGCAGTAGGGTGAGGGTACAGTAGAGTGCAGTAGGGTGAGGGGTACAGTAGAGTGCAGTAGGGTGAGGGTACAGTAGAGTGCAGTAGGGTGAGGGGTACAGTAGAGTGCAGTAGGGTGAGGGGTACAGTACTGTGAAGTGCTAATCTGCACAATACTGCCCTTTAAAGTAGTACTACTTCAACCACTCGGTCACATTGTACTGTACAAGTAACAAGACCATACATTACATTAATGTGTTTAATTTTAAAATCCAACTGTAAAAGATCATCAGGGCGAATGGGATGACCTTTGACAAGCCACCGGCTTCCTGTCCTCGTCGAGGCCGCTCAAGTGTTAGTGGACAGGTAAATTAACAAATACAGGCATACCTCAGAATACGATTTTAATCCGTTCCTGGAGACGCCTCGCCTTCCGAAAACTCGCATTCCGAAGTTAATTTCCCCATAAGAAATAAAGGGAAATGAATTAATCCGTTCCTGACTACCCCAAAAACCCCACATCAAACTAAATTTTTATACCTAATTCATCTAAATAAACCTACAAAACTGTGTTCCAGTTATTACTTACCTTACTGTCGAGTGCTGTAGGCGTATGGAAGATGGTGAGGAGGGGGGAGGAGGAGAGGAGTTACTGTTTGGAAGGGGAGTCCCCTTCCATAATCACATCACATAACCCCATGCCTTGTAACACTATGGATACCACTTCTCTTTCTAAATTTTTCAAACCAGCCCCTGCTTGCCTTAAACTCTTTCTTATCTGCATCACTCGTTGCAGGGGTATTCTTTAGAAGGTCTTCGTGCAACACCCTGGCTTTCTCACAAATAATGGCCTCCGAAACACTATCACCCCTCAACTCCTTGTCGTGTATCCAAATTAATAACAACTTTTCCACTTCTTCAAGTATTTGTGCCGTTAATGTTCTTACTCCTTTTGCCACTTTAGCACCCATAATCTTATTTTTCTTCTTAAGTATAGTGCATATTGTTGATGTGGCTTTGTTGTACTGCCTACAAAGTTCAACAACACGTGTACCGTTCTCATGCTTCCGAATGATCTCTTGTTTCTCCTCTATTGTCATCCTCACAGGAGCTTTCTGGCCTTTATCCTTACCACTGGCTTTCTTGGGGCCCATGGTGAGATATATAATAACAAATTGTATAGACAAATCACCAAAAATCCAACAAAACACTGAAAATCCGCGAGAAGAATTGATGTGGGGGTAGTCACTGAGCGCCAGACAATAATAAACTGAGGGGCGGCGGGGCGGAGGGGCGACGAACGCGCTAGGTCGGCTGTACGCTAACCATTTTCCTTGACTGTAATGATTTGTGTACTGTACTTTTTTTTCAAACAGATTAAAATAACATGTCTATAAAGACAGTATGATAATTATCATTAGAGATACAGTAGTACTGAGAAAATCCACTGGGGGGCTGTGAGGCGATGCAAACCCATGACCAAAGCATTGCCAGCTACATACTCTTATCAAGTCAGTGGTACAGTAGTCGAGTATGCTATGTGGATGGCAATGACTTGGTCGTGGGTTCACGTTGCCTCACAGCCCCAGTGGATTTTCTCGTTGATATAAGTCATGTTAGTGTGATTATCTGTGTATATTAATACTGCAATGTGTGATAACATTAAAAATGATCTGACCTGTTTTAAATATACTCAAGAAAACCTATCACAGCTCTTGCATTTTGTTACAGGGAACAAAACAAGAAAACCTTGCATAAAATACTTGTAGCAAGTAAATTTGTGGTCATTACACTTGCATTGATACAGAAAGAGTAATTTGTATGTACATAACAAAAGTACTTAGTGGAATATCTCCCTCTAGTCCCATGGCTGGTACAGTACACTATATAAATTTGAGATCATGTGGTGATAGTCCTCAATCCACCAGTAGTCTCTGATGGGCCACTCGATAACTCTCCTAGCCGTAGCACTAAGGTTGTCAAGTTCCAATTACCTCACACAGTAAACCAAATTCTGGTTCGGGGCCACGATTCATCAAGCATTTACGCATCCACTTACGGAACCTGAATATCTTTCATTAATCATTTAACGGTTTACAACTTTTAAAACTTTATGAGCTAAGTTTGTTGTTATAAACAACCACATAATGCTTTGGAGCTCACAAACTGTTTCCTCAATAATAGTGGCTTTGCCTACATTTATAAAAGATGTACAGGTTACATAAGTGGATGTGTAAAGTCTTGATAAATCCTGCTCCTGCATCCCAGTAGGCTCAGGTGGGTCTGAGGCTTCATGTGATACTGGGGCTGCCAGTACAGTAGTACTGGCAGCCCCAGTACTACTGTATAGCATGGCAAGCTACTTAGGAGCCCCTCACAGAAAAAATTAAAATGCCTACATTATGACAAAGATTTTGAAAGTTGTAACTTCAATTTAGCATCAAAATTAAAAAGATGCATATTAATGATAGTCACACTAACCTCAAACTGCGAGAAATATGCCCCTGTGACCCCAGGGAGGCTTGCTGGTCGTGGAGTTTTGGGAGTGGTTGGTTGGGGTTGTCTTTGCTGCTGCTGCTCACCAGGAAACACATCTGCAAACACAGCATCATAGGGTCCAAGAGCATCATCTTGGGTTGTAGTTGAATGGGCATCATCATGAAGAAAATCAGTATCTGATATCTCGGAACCAAACCCACTGGTTGAGACACTGTCACTGCGTGCTAGTTCCCATGGACACAACCAAGTAGTGCCTTCACGGCCCACCCCTTGTTGCTGTTGATGTGGACCCAGATTTTGAGGCCACGCTCTCCCAACCTCGTCATAGCTGGAACACTTTCTAGTGGTGAAATCAGGGTTACGATGCTCTAGCAGACGTCTAGTGTTTAGGTGAGTCTCGCTGGAGGAATAACACCTAGGAAGGCGCTGAGGGCTTGGGGCCAGTTCTGTCCTTTCCTCTATTATGATACCTGAATCACTTTGTTGTACGCCTGGAGAATTTGGAGAATTTGGGGTGGCTGCTGGGGGCCCAGCCACTGCTGCCTCCTGTGGGCTCACTGGTAACCAAACTCCACTGGTAAGTTCAGGCGCAGTGCATGCTGCTGTAGCAGTTACTGGATGCTGCTGCTGTTTTTGTTCGCTAGAAGATATACTTAGCTCTAGAACTCGTGGACGTTCCTCTCGTGGACCTGTTAGCTGAATAGGCACAATCACCTCTCTAGGGCGCTGTATAACATGATTGGGTTGCTGTTGGCACCTCTCAATTTTTATTATAGACTCTTCATTTTCTTTGCATTTTTCATCACGAGAACTCCATAAACTATCTCGGGAATCTTTCTTGCTACTTAATAACTTTCTTGATTCATCTGGAATTGTAATATGTTCTTCTTTTTGCTTGCCATCTTCCAATTGAACTTCCAGCACTGATCTAACTTCTGGCACTGCATTACAGGGTGTGGCAATTACCTGAGTTTCCCTAACTATTATAGGCTCACTCCGAACATAGCTCACAGGTGAAGCTTCTCTCTTCACATCAATTACACACACTGATACTTGCCGACTCTCTCTATCACTGCCACGCCGTGTGAAGGACACTGTGGATGTAGATGATGGCCTGACCGTCTTCTCATTTCTTCCCGTTTCCTCTAATCTTACTAATCCGATCTCAGAAGTGTTTCCTGCTTTTACTTTTCCTGTCTCAACAGATCCACTTCCTCTTTCCTCTACTCTTAATCTGCCACTCGTAACAATACCATTCCCTCTTCCTTCAACCAGTTCTCTCCCTGCTTCAGCTGCACCAACATTAAATGTGGCACTACTGTAATAGTTGCTGGTTGACCCACTTGTACTCTTAATGCTATCACTAGATGTAAAGCTTTCTTTTAAGGACGTAATCTTAGCCTCACTTTTGTAGTCACTGCTAGTCCGACTAGACACCTCTTTACTCTTGAAGAAGGAGCTGAAAGCAGGAGAGGAAGGAGAAGACTCGGAAGTTTTTCTAAAACTGAAAATTGGAGAATTTGTCGTTTCTCTTATGATAGTTTTCGGAGACGATGGAGGTAGATTTGAGATTGGTGTTACTGGGGATGTGCGTGTGATAGGAAGGCCATCATCACGAAGGTCATCCAAAGCAGAGGCAAAACTGAGCCGAGCAAGAGCTGTAGAAGGGGACATGTCTGGTGTGTGAGGTGAAGAGGCTGGAGATGCTGGTACGGCCTCTAGAGTTGACCGTAGGTTAAGGCTGAGAGATTTAGGCACATTACTTTGTAAACCAGCACAGGCATGTCTTTCAAGGAAACTGGATGTGAAGGCAGATGATGAGGAAACTGACGATGATGAACCAACAGAAGAGGAGTGATGAGACTCTTGGGTGCGAAACAAAATTGGGGCAGAGGCAGGACCTCGCGGGCCTACTTCTCGCCTCAGTTGCCGATCTAACTCGGCTAATTGACCTACAAAGTTAATATTTGGAGAGATCGTAGGTCTTCTTGTTTTAACATACCTGTGAAATACAGAAAAAATTCTGTAAATAAAATTAGTTTGCATATAGTATGGAGTATGAGTAGAGTACTATTCAGATAGTTTCTCAAATATAATACACAGTTTCTGTTTCTCAAGATAGTTTCTCAAATATAGAATATTGTATTTTTTCTTCATATATCTTGAATGTAATATTAATGGAACAACATACATGTAAGCCTCATCAAAAGGAAGAGAGAGATGCTTCATAACATAAGCGATTGCAACAGTAGCAGATCGAGAGATGCCCGCCAGACAGTGCACCAGCACAGAGCCACCAGACTCACGAACCTTGTCTGTTGCAGGAAACATGCATTAAACACAATAATATTAGCTCTAATTCTATTACAGTATTTCTCAAATGTTACACATTATATCAGTATCAGGCAATCTAAATAGGACATGGGCATAACATATATTGGAATACAAAAAATTGCTAAATAATTATAACTGTGAAATGGCAATCCAGAATCATATTTGACATTTCAAAAATATAAAATAAAGGTTGGCCATAATGATTCATAATATTGTAAGACAGTCACCGGTAACCACGTATGATACAGTCAACGGTAACAATATATGACAGTCGCCAGTAACAATTTTAGACACGGTCATATTATGAAAAATGCAGGTGAACTGAGAGCTTGGACTCACCAATGAAGTTAAAGGCGTCGTTGAAGTAAGGGAAGAGTTTCTCGCTGAAGTTGTCGTTGACTGGGATCCTCATGAAGTGAGACTCCTGTACAAAGTCTGGCTTGGGGCATGACACGCTAACATTCAGCTCATACAAGATATTGTAATCCTGAAAATATCATTAAACATTAGCAGGTAATAAGTCAGAATAACATGGCTGAAAACAACCCACAAACATAAAATAAAAGTGACAATGCCATACTGTATTAAAATCATATACCTGTACAGTGACACCTCGACTTACGATTGCCCCAACTTACGAATTTTTTGAGTTATGACATAAATTCCGACTCAACTTACGACCGTGTTGTCGACTAACAACCTTTGTTGATACGAGTTTGGGTCGACCGAGCGCGTGTTCCTGGTGGCATGGCCGACCTTGCCTAAGTTTACCAGAACCGCCCGCTTAGTGACGATCGCGCTTGTAAAGAATTTCGGCATTTTTGTGCTTTTTTTTTTTTTGAACATTAAAGTAATTATTATATATCATGCTATGGGTCCCACAAAAGTCAGTGGTAAGGTTCAACCTAAGAAAACACACGTGAGGATGACCATAGAGGAAAAACAAGAGATCATTCGTAAACATGAAAATGGTATGAGGGTTGTTGATGTAGAGTAGATTATGTCCCTTCCTCATTTATTAAGAAAGTGTGTACAGTATGGGAAGAATTGCAAAGTCTTGCTGAAAAGTGTCACCCAAATCAAGCTGTAGCAGACCATTGTGCTAACCTTTTTAATGACAATGTGACAGACAAGTGACTTCAGACAAGTGTTACAATGTTGGGAAAAACAAGTGTCACTAGAGAGGTTTTTAGTGAGAAAACAAGTGGTGAGCCACAACCAGATCCAAGTGGTATGCAGGCAAAACGTAGGAGAGAGTACCCCAGAAAAGTCATCACGCCTGATATTATAATGGAAGGGTACTCCCCTTCCAAAGACTAACAACTTTCCTCCTTCCCTCCTCCTCACCGCCTTCTATATGCCAACAAGAGTCCTCATTCAAGGTAAGATAAACATACTGTATTGTAGTGTTATTTGGTATAAAATGTTAAGTTAAATATTAAGTTAATCCATTCCACACCCCCAAAAATATTAATTACATTATTTCTTAGGGGAAAATTCATTTCGACTTACGACCCGTCTCTGGGAACGGATTAAATTCGTAAGCAGAGGCCCCACTGTACCATTATGTGGTGTATAACAATAATAAGGTTAACAAATTGTAACATTAATGAGTCGTGATAATTAAAAAAAAAAGGTAATTTAGGGAGGGAGGAGGGAGTAATTTAAAAATTTTATTAAATTCTTTCCATATATATATTTTCCTGGATTTTAGACTATATTTTTATACTTGTATACAACCAACTTGTGTCTGTCCCATATCCAAGACCATTTGTGCTGTAAATTTGGACGCAAATTTGCAAGGGGAATGCAAAGCTCCCTGCAAATTCCCCAAGCATTTAGCCACCAACTTTGGACAGACACACGCACACACTAGAAGGGAGTACAGGTACCTCCTAGTGTGTGTGAAATTTCATCCTCATAGTTTCCTACCTTGTGCTTCAAACTCACACTGTTCTTGTACTACCCACTTCCCCATTATCAGTACTGTGTTTGTGTGTGTGTGTACTCACCTATTTGTGCTTGTGGGGGTTGAGCTCTGGCTCTTTGGTCCCGCCTCTCAACTGTCAATCAACTGATGTACAGATTCCTGAGCCTACTGGGCTCTATCATATCTACACTTAAAACTGTGTATGGAGTCAGCCTCCACCACATCACTGCCTAATGCATTCCATCTGTTAACTACTCTGACACTGAAAAAGGTCTTTCTGACATTACCCAAATACTGAGTACCTAAATGAGCCCTGTTACTCATTTGGGTACTCAGTCTCCACCTGTCCCGCCCCCCCCCCCCTCCTTGTTCGCGTACCACCAGTGTTAAACAATTTAGCCTTATCTACCCTGTCAATTCCTCTGAGAATTTTGTAGGTTGTGATCATATCTCCCCTTACTCTTCTGTCTTCTAGTGTCGTAAGGTGCATTTCACGCAGCCTTTCCTCGTAACTCATGCCTCCTAGTTCTGGGAGTAGCCTAGTCTCATACATCTGAACTTTTCCAGCTTCGTCTTGTGCTTGACAAGGTACAGGCTCCATGCTGGGGCCGCATACTCAAGGATTGGTCTTACATATGTGGTCTACAAGATTCTGAATGATTGCTTACACAGGTTCCTGAAGGCTGTTCTGATGTTAGCCAGCCTCGCATATGCAGATGTAATTCTTTTTATGTGGGCTTCAGGAGACAGGTTTGGTGTGATATCAACTCCTAGGTCTTTCTATCTGTCCGTTTCATGAAGTACTTCATCTCCTATTTATTTATTTATTTATTTATTTATGCATATACAAGAATGTACATAAGGAATGTGAGGATACAAATATGGTAATTACAGTCTTGTAAAGCCACTAGCCTATTCTGTATCCTGTGTTTGGCCTCCTGTTTCCACCGCCTAGTTTCGTTACCTTGCATTTATTCGGGTTGAACTTTATTATTTATATATACAAGAGTTTTTACATTCTTGTACAGTGACTAGTGCGCGTTGCGTTTCGGGAAGTCCTTAATCCTATGTTCCCTGGAATACGAGACCCACGAAGAATAATTTTTACAACCTTATATATATTTACAACCTTTACAAGTACCCATTTTACTGTTGAGTTAAACAGAGGCTACAGTTAAGGATTTGCGCCCAGTCAAACCTCCCCGGCCAGGATACGAACCCAGGACAAAGCGCTTGCGGAACGTCAGGCGAGCGTCTTACTACTACGCCACGGAGACGACAAGAATAATAAATCTTTATTATTCGCCTCTTTAGTACCCATTTGTTGGACCATCCATTCTAGTCTAGATCTTGTGGCCTCATACTATCTTCCCCCGTCTTAATCCTCCTCATAATTTTGCATCATCAGCGTGTGTGTGTGTGTACTCACCTATTTGTGCTTGCGGGTGTTGAGCTTTGGCTCTTTGGTCCCGCCTCTCAACTATCAATCAACTGGTGAGACTGGTGTGTGTGTAATTTATACACACACACCTGCTCACTACTCTTAACTTCCTAATAACATCACTATGGTTCAATTGAGCTTGTATAGTTTCCACCCATGTCCTCTCGTCCTGTCCCTGTTCATGCTAAACTTCAGAGAGAAAATGATAGGAGAGACTGCATATAAGACGGCATGCGGCTGGCAAGACAGGGCCCAATAGCTGAAGCTTAATCCCCACCAGCCCGGAGGAGAAACCACCCACCCTAATCCCTGCTGCGCCGGGCGGAGCTCACGTGTTTGCCCGGCAAACGTGTGCAGTAGGGGCCCCCGCGCGCCAAAATTAGCGCGCCAAATCAACATTCGCATCCGATAATAAAACAGACCACTGTTTAACCCATGGGAGCCACACTGGCCAGCCTCACGCCCCAGGAAAGAAAAATAATAGCCGGGGAGAGAAGAACTGTCACGCATTAGGAGAGGAACAGAAAAAGAGGATTAAATGTTACACAGAGATGCACTAAAACAGCCCCCAGCGTCTATACTAGGCTGGTGCCGTCAAGGCGAAGCCCACCAGCAGCGCCTCTGCATGATCCAATATTAGCTTTAGCAATCGGCTTTATCCTCTAGCAATTGGCTTTATCCCTGTCAGTTATCAAATATCCTCTCATGGTCACGTGACCTCATGCACTGAAAGATTAATTATTTTCTGTCAGAGGCTTTATAACTATTTCTTTATAGTTCCAGGGATCATCGCCCTCTTTGGCTTAGTCGTTGATCAGGTATTCTGGCTAACGGCCTGATCGCTATGCTGTTGTTTTTCTTACTCAATGTGCTTATTGTAGCACCCAAACATTTCGCTGTACATTAACGATGAGGCTGGTAACACCGAAGCTTCATATCAACGCCCCAAACACTGACGTTGACACTTGCAAGTCTCGCCAGAATCACGGATGTGTACTGGTACCCGTCAAGAATTAGAGCTACTGTGAAGATCTAGGCCGAGCTGTGTGACGTTGAGAAATTTTAGGAGGACGGGCTGCTCTGAAGGCATAGTGATGCGAGGAGCAGGGAAAGCTTTGCTAGTCATATTTGCGGATATAGCTTACGAGTTGCTTCTGAGGAAAACTTTGGTTCAAGAACTATGCTGGAAATGCACATAAATTCGGTTTAACGAAGTTTACTTTGGGAGGCTGTAACAACAGCTTATCTGATCGGAGTGCCTTCGGGGAACAAATATCGATAAATTCAGATACTCAGAAATGGATGTTATTTATGCTTACGATAACAATTGTCTGGAACGAAATGAAGTTGAAATGAGCCGTAAACTCCATCCCTAAACAAAGACTGCATAGCAATCGCCCGCAGAGGGAGAGCAAATATTTCGTAGCTAGTATGTTTAAAGATTGAGAGCCGGAGCCCAAGAGCTGAAGTTCATACCCCCGCTGCAAGCAGACAGCTGAGGAGCAGATGCGTGTACAGGTGCTTATGATCGGGGCACAGGTGTTTCTGGGAGCAGTGACTCACCCCAGGAACACATGTTTCCCGCCTACACCTGCTCGCAACCTTCTCCTCCTAACCTGTGACGATAACCGCATTACCCCATGAATCCTCCTCCTCCATTGTCAAGCTCAATCCAACTGATACATTTCTTGAATTTATGGTCTGGTTTTGAGAGTCTGGATTTACAGTCAGGTTTTAAGAGCTAGGTACTGCATGTGTTTGTGGGAGTTTGTGGGTAATGAAGTGTGATGTTGTGTATATATTATAATCCACCTGCACAAACTAGGTTTTGGACTTTGGGTTGTTTAAGGCAGGTGTGTTTAGCTGTGTTTCTAGGCGCTGTGCACCAGGATGGGTTGGTTTATGGGGGTTGAGCTGTATCTATGGTACGCCTCTTATCCCTCGATTGTCCTGGGAATATTGTTGATAATCCTTTGGGGTTATGCCTGCTTTTGAGGTTACACTGAGTTGGTACCGAAGATCAGTGTCCCAGCGGACCAGTCTCTGGTTAACGGTCTGGTCAACCAGGCTGTTAGATGCCGCTGCACGCACTGACGTAGGAATCACAGCCCGGTTGATCGGGCAACCTTTGGAGGCGTATGGATTGTGGCACTAGTATACTGACCTTGTGGCACTCCACTTACGACCGACCTCTACACTAGGCCCTTCCATTACCGTAACCCCATGTTTGCTATCAGAGAGGTGCTGTGTAACTCACAGAGTTACACAGTTACCTCACTGGGGTTCTCAAGGATGTATGACAGTGTGTAACGTGGACCAGTATCAGGTCCCTCCTCACACTTCAGCAACAGTCTGCCCGTGCTTCCGTCTTCTGCTTTATCGCTCTTCTCATATAATTCCAAGAAGTTTCTTAAGCTTCGCTTGACTTCTCTGGTGCCATGTTGGTGTCTGGGGAAAAACATTTGCAGACACTGATTATTAAGTCGTGATGTCCTGATGGTCCTCTACAGTACTTTGCAGTACTGTAGAGGACCATGTCCACTTCCTCTGCTGTTATATCTTTATCTTCTTGTTCAGTCGCACGCAATCCCTCTACTTTCTGCTACTTCCGGTTCAATTAACCTTTCAGAGAGCACACATTTTCTGTAAGTTCACACAATCTTTTTGTAGCAACGGAACAGTTTGATTGCTCGTTTGCCAACATCACTGTGTGTGTGTGTGTGTGTCTGTCGTACCCCAAGCTAAACCTGCTACTGCAGTTAGCCTCTGCCACCACTTCAAAGAAATGTGTTAGCTGAATGCTGCATACTTGAGTATTGGTCTCACGTAGGTGGTGTATTGCTTTGAATATTCCCAATTGTCAAAGGATATGTTATATGTGGTGCCCCACATGGAAGACAAAAGTATCTGGTTTAATAACTGAAAGTTTCACATTATTCATTAAGGTGATCTGCCTAAATTGGTCTGGTGGAAACAATATGTTTATATCTTCTCCGAGCGCCTCCATCAACACTGTGGTGAATGTTGAGTTGTTCAGAGGTGCTCAGAGAAGAGGTGCTCAGAGAAGAGGTGCTCAGAGAAGAGGTGCTCAGAGAAGAGGTGCTCAGAGAAGAGGTGCTCAGAGAAGAGTTGTTCAGAGAAGAGTTGTTCAGAGGTGCTCAGAGAAGAGGTGCTCAGAGAAGAGGTGCTCAGAGAAGAGTTGTTCAGAGAAGAGGTGCTCAGAGAAGAGGTGTTCAGAGAAGAGGTGTTCAGAGAAGAGGTGTTCAGAGAAGAGGTGTTCAGAGAAGAGGTATTCAGAGAAGAGGTGCTCAGAGAAGAGGTGTTCAGAGAAGAGGTGCTCAGAGAAGAGTTGTTCAGAGAAGAGTTGTTCAGAGGTGCTCAGAGAAGAGGTGCTCAGAGAAGAGGTGCTCAGAGAAGAGGTGCTCAGAGAAGAGGTGTTCAGAGAAGAGGTGTTCAGAGAAGAGGTGCTCAGAAAAGAGGTGCTCAGAAAAGAGGTGCTCAGAAAAGAGGTGCTCAGAAAAGAGGTGCTCAGAAAAGAGGTGCTCAGAAAAGAGGTGCTCAGAAAAGAGGTGCTCAGAAAAGAGGTGCTCAGAAAAGAGGTGCTCAGAAAAGAGGTGCTCAGAAAAGAGGTGCTCAGAAAAGAGGTGCTCAGAGAAGAGGTGCTCAGAGAAGAGGTGCTCAGAGAAGAGGTGTTCAGAGAAGAGGTGTTCAGAGAAGAGGTGTTCAGAGAAGCTCAGAGAAGAGGTGCTCAGAGAAGAGGTGGTGAGAGAAGAGGTGGTGAGAGAAGAGATACTTACAGAGAGAAGCTGCCTGTTGCTGGCGTCGTGCTGGGAGCCCAGATAGAGGAAGGGGAGGATCCTGGTGGGTCCCGCGGTGGAGACTGGAAGACAAGGCTGGGACTGGGTGGTGAGGGGCGTGCACTTCTTGCTAGAGTCCTCGCACAGCTCTGGAAACCTCGCCTGGAATTCCAGAAACCCTCCTGGCAGCCCCACATGGGATCAAATGCCACAGTGGAAGGGTCAGAGGGGGTGCAGTTAGCCCAAGGTGGTAACAGGGGTCAAGGTCACAGTGCCAGAGGGGGAATCAAAATCAGGAGCCGGAAAAAAAGAAAAATTATAATTAATGTCAATATTGGATGAAAATTTAACAACAAATCTGTCATATATGAATCGTACGAGAAAATATCTGACCAATTTGTGTGTGTGAAGGTATAGATGTTCATGAAGGATATTTAGAGACACGCGGTGTTTGTAAACACTTGAAACAGAAGCATCCAGCTATCATCACTTGGATTCTTCACTCAGGGGTGTGACACTCTTATTTCCCACCTCCATGGCTACTGTCCTCTCACATGTGGTAAGTTACCCTCACTCACACAGACACAAGGGGAGTAACCCCACTCACACAGACACAAGGGGAGTACCCCCACTCACACAGACACAAGGGGAGTAACCACACTCACACAGACACAAGGGGAGTACCCTCACTCACACAGACACATGGGGAGTACCCCACTCACACAGACACAAGGGGAGTAACCACACTCACACAGACACAAGGGGAGTACCCCCACTCACACAGACACAAGGGGAGTACCCTCACTCACACAGACACAAGGGGAGTACCCCACTCACACAGACACAAGGGAAGTAACCACACTCACACAGACACAAGGGGAGTAACCACACTCACACAGACACAAGGGGAGTACCCTCACTCACACAGACACAAGGGGAGTACCCCCACTCACACAGACACAAGGGGAGTACCCCCACTCACACAGACACAAGGGGAGTAACCACACTCACACAGACACAAGGGGAGTACCCTCACTCACACAGACACAAGGGGAGTACCCCACTCACACAGACACAAGGGGAGTACCCCACTCACACAGACACAAGGGAAGTAACCACACTCACACAGACACAAGGGGAGTAACCACACTCACACAGACACAAGGGGAGTACCCTCACTCACACAGACACAAGGGGAGTACCCCCACTCACACAGACACAAGGGGAGTACCCCCACTCACACAGACACAAGGGGAGTACCCCCACTCACACAGACACAAGGGGAGTACCCCCACTCACACAGACACCCCCACTCACACAGACACAAGGGGAGTACCCCCACTCACACAGACACAAGGGGAGTACCCCACTCACACAGACACAAGGGGAGTACCCCCACTCACACAGACACAAGGGGAGTACCCCCACTCACACAGACACAAGGGGAGTACCCCCACTCACACAGACACAAGGGGAGTACCCCCACTCACACAGACACAAGGGGAGTACCCCCACTCACACAGACACAAGGGGAGTACCCCCACTCACACAGACACAAGGGGAGTACCCCCACTCACACAGACACAAGGGGAGTACCCCCACTCACACAGACACAAGGGGAGTAACCACACTCACACAGACACAAGGGGAGTAACCACACTCACACAGACACAAGGGGAGTACCCTCACTCACACAGACACAAGGGGAGTAACCACACTCACACAGACACAAGGGGAGTACCCCCTCACACAGACACAAGGGGAGTACCCCCACTCACACAGACACAAGGGGAGTACCCCCACTCACACAGACACAAGGGTAGCACACACAGACACAAGGGGAGCACACACAGACACAAGGGGAGCACACACAGACACAAGGGGAGCACACACAGACACAAGGGGAGCACACACAGACACAAGGGCAGTACCCCCCCTCACACAGACACAAGGGCAGTACCCCACTCACACAAGGGCAGTACCCCCCCCTCACACAGACACAAGGGGAGCACACACAGACACAAGGGGATTACCCCCCTCACACAGACACAAGGGGAGCACACACAGACACAAGGGGAGAGTGTGAGGGGCGACACACACACAAGGGGAGAGTGTGTGAGGGGCGACACAGACACAAGGGGAGAGACACACAGACACCAGGGGAGAGTGTGAGGGGCGACACACTCACCAGCCAGCAGGTAGACGCAGGGGAAGGCTCTGCCCAACTTGTTGAGGAGGACGTGGAGGAAGGAGTCTTGAGGGATGGCGGAGACTGAGGCAGCGTTCTGGTCGTAGACGATAATGTCCAGCTGCTGGTGCAGCTCCGCCACCTGACACGCCTGCTGCAGGTAGTCGTGCACCGAGATCTGTGGACGACCACCATCACGCTGCTTATATGGCCGCTGCGCACTTGTTTGCCCGTCTTACGCCCTTGTTTTTGTCTCATTATATCAGTGCGTCGATTGTGTCCACATGTTGTTATTTGATGTTAGGAGGGTGTTTGTATGGGAGTTTGGTGATTGTTCTGGTAACTGACCGATTGTCTTACTTGCCTAAGTTGTTAAATGGTTGTTTACGATTGGTAGAGGACTATTAAGTGGTTGTTTGGGCAGTTAGATAATTAGTTGGGGGGTGGGGGCGCTAGATGCTTGGTTTGGCCCTCGACTGACTGTATTAGTGTTAGGGTATCACGCTCTTTATTAACTGCTTGTCTCAATGTCCCAGATGATAGTTTCTAGGTTTCGTGAGGTTGTTTAAAAGCGATAAATAGATATTGGGATTTTCTGACATTTGCCTGTTGTAGTCGTATATATAATATTCAGCTGCATAAGATGATTGTTGGCCGTATCTGTCGTGATGTTCTCTCTCAAACTAATTGTGAAAATGAGACATAATGTGAGGAACTCTGATTTTTCTCCCTCCCTCGCTGTGAGAGAGGAATAGGGAGGGAGGGAGGGATGGAGGGGCGAGCAGGAGTGACGTCAGGTGTTACTCATATACTTGGCAATGCTCGCAGTTCCCCTCAAAAACTCTCCCCCAACATAGAGGTCCGCGTCTGTGGTTTATGCTCCACCAGGAGTGTAAACACGCCTCCTCTGTGCCAACCTCCAAGAATAAAGTCTTCTAAACGCATTCAAAGTCTCTTTTTAACATTTCAGGCGACGGATTTGTTGTTACGGACACAGTGTCCGTCTTAACCATTTACGCGGGAAACTTCCATACTTGATAATACTTTTTTTAGGATTATTTTGAGGTTGGGGGGGGGGGAGGATCATTTAAGAATATTTTATTTCAGACTATATTAATACTTAGTGTATACATCGTCTATACATCGCTACACAAATTACCATATTTGACACAACTTCTTGCTCAACAACGACCCAATATATATATATATATATATATATATATATATATATATATATATATATATATATATATATATATATATATATATTGTATTTATACAAAATCATTTGGTTTCCGTACACAACCTCTTTCCAATAATATCTACAAACTGTGCTAGTTAAATATGTGACGATCTTGTATACCGGTCAATACGCAATACAGAAAAAAAAACAGGTTTAAAATACACATGACAGGTCCTTGTCTACTATTTTATACACAGGTTCCCTAACGGAGTCCACAACATGAAAGAAAAAATGATCTTTGTGCACTTAAACCCTGCTTGATATTACGTCAATATTAAATGCACAACGTGAATAATAATACTGTAGTTAGTACTGTAAGTAATACTGTAAGACCCCTAACTGTAGTTAGGGGTCTTCACATGATAAAGTTAGGAGCCTCTAATTTATTAACACACACGCGCCCACACACACACACACACGCACGCGCACTCTAAGAAGATGAACACAAGATTGTGATTTACAACTTACAGAATCTTGCTGTAGCCTCTTCTTCCTGATCTTGGACGACCACACATTAATGGAGTTAAGAATGTGGGAAGTGTTATACTCGCAGAACGTCCGGCTGTCTATAATCAGCGCCTGCGTCAACAATACAAAAGAAAGGTGATTATCGTACGCTATTGTGTGTCCCATGTCTAGGGTAAACAAACTTAAACAAGGTAATTAGGTAGCACAATCTTAAACTAATTGAATTGTATTTGGTTTGGCCGTAGCATAGTTTGACAAAATATTAAGAGCGAAACCCTATCCCAACAAGTTAAACTGTCAGTAACACTAAAACTTAATTTAATTTTAAACTAGCATAACCTGATTTAGCCAGAACTAATTCAACTTATTTAGACCTAGCTTGGCCTTACCTAGCCTAATAAATGGAGTCTAGCCTAGCTATCAAACCTGGCAGAAATAACTTATACCTAGCCTATAAACTTAGCTTAATTTAGCCAAGGCTAGCCTAAAGTTGCCAAGCCTAGCCTAACGTAGCCTAGCTTAAAGTAGCCAAGTCTAGCCTAAAGTAGCCAAGCCTAGCTTAAAGTAACTTGGTGTTCAGGAGCTCACATACACTGGGAACTCACCTTATCGCTCCTAACTAGTAGTGAGAGCTTGTGGGGCTTGACCACCCTGATGGACTCCATGGTTCCTCTACCGTCCGCCGCTGCTGCTGCTGCTGCTACTGCTGCTGCTCCTTCTCCAGCTGGCAGGCGCCGTCAGCTGCCCCTACCCTCACACTGAGTGCTGTCTGACACCACCTGTCAACGAACTCACATGAGTATGCCATAGATTTAAGGGTTTGGTGTTGGACCTGCCAACTGCAGCATGGTTAACACCACAATAGCTTACTGACCGACTAACAGTATACTTTAGTCCTGTACATTGTCCAGCACTACAGTAAATCCTGTGTATATAAGACAAAATGTTCCAGGTCAGATGCCAGATGTTTGCGGTTAGGCTTACGCAACGTTTAATAGTGATTTGTGATAGTATAGTGTCATTGGTGAGGGGGGGGGGGTTAGTTCAAACCACTTGCCAGTCCTTAAAGTAGGATTGGCCCCTATTGCGACAACCAGCGGCTCTTATGAAAGTCTATAAATGTGGTTAGGTTTTCCATAGAGTTTTTCAACATACTTTTTCAAATATTCATCACCCACACAATCACAACCTTATTACAATGATCTATAAAATTTGCAGTAGAAAAAGTAACCTTGTGGTTATATTGTGTTTTTGTTGGGTGTGTGTGTACTGTGTGTTGTGGGGGAGAGTGAGAGGCTGGGAGGTAGAGAGAAGAGGAGGAATGGAGGGAGAGAGAATAATGGGAGAAAATACAGGAATGAGGGGGAAATGAGAGAAATGGGAATGTAGAGAAACACACACATTACACTGTATCTCGCCTGTGTGAGACAACCCCACGTGAGAGGTTGTTCTGGAAACTGAAATATACTGGAGGGGGTGGCCTAATTGTCCTCTTAAAATGAACGTCGCTATTGGCCGTTTACCCGTATGGCCGAATTTGGACGTAATTTGAAAATGAAAAAAACATGAAAATAAATTTGGGATTTTTTTTTTCAACAGCAGTAAGTTAAGGGTACTGTGATAGGTTAGGTGGGCAGGAAATTCTCATAAAGTTTCAAAACGTTATGAAAAACGTTAATTGAAAGTCACCTATTCTAACCTTACAGAGTCGGCCGGACGACTCAAACAGAAAACGGAACAGTACGTCACTTTTGTGAGTCGATTTCATTTCAAATCACGTCCAAATTTGGCCATAGTGCCGCGCATACCAGCCAAAAGTGACGTTATTTTTAAGAGGACGGGTTGGACAGGCAGACTGCTGACATGGATGACAGTTTTTGTGTAAGTGACAGAGTAATGAGAACGATAATCAGAGGTAATATATCAGAGTGGCAAAATATTAACTATCGGAGTACCCCAGGGTTCAGTTCTGATCCAGTGGTCTGTTGTGGCTATAACTGTGCACTGTGTTAGATAATGTTCCAGTGGTCTGTTGTGGCTGTGCACTGTGTTAGATAATGTTCCAGTGGTCTGTTGTGGTTGTAACTGTGCACTGTGTTAGATAATGTTCCAGTGGTCTGTTGTGGCTGTGACTGTGCACTGTGTTAGATAATGTTCCAGCGGTCTGTTTCACATCCCTTGTGTGTGGTCATCATGTATCCTTCCTGTGTCCTTGTGTGTGTGTGTATGTGTGTGTGTGAAATCATCATGTATCCTCTCATGTGTCCCTGTGTGTGGTCGTGCATGTATCTTGTTATGTTTCACTGTTGTTAGAATGTTTCTGTTGTCTAACAATGTATTTCAGTGTCTAACAGCACCCCATGTGTCTTATTATAGATGTCTTGTAATCCAAGTGAGCACCTCTTGTATTGAACTGTACCATGTGTCCTCTGACACGTGAGCATCTCTTGTATTGAACTGTACCATGTGTCCTCTGACACCTGAGCATCTCTTGTGTTGAACTGTACCATGTGTCCTCTGACACGTGAGCATCTCTTGTGTTGAACTGTACCATGTGTCCTCTGACACGTGAGCATCTCTTGTGTTGAACTGTACCATGTGTCCTCTGACACCTGAGCATCTCTTGTGTTGAACTGTACCATGTGTCCTCTGACACGTGAGCATCTCTTGTGTTGAACTGTACCATGTGTCCTCTGACACCTGAGCATCTCTTGTGTTGAACTGTACCATGTGTCCTCTGACACCTGAGCACCTCTTGTGTTGAACTGTACCATGTGTCCTCTGACACCTGAGCATCTCTTGTGTTGAACTGTACCATGTGTCCTCTGACACGTGAGCACCTCTTGTGTTGAACTGTACCATGTGTCCTCTGACACCTGAGCACCTCTTGTGTTGAACTGTACCATGTGTCCTCTGACACCTGAGCATCTCTTGTGTTGAACTGTACCATGTGTCCTCTGACACGTGAGCACCTCTTGTGTTGAACTGTACCATGTGTCCTCTGACACGTGAGCACCTCTTGTGTTGAACTGTACCATGTGTCCTCTGACACCTGAGCATCTCTTGTGTTGAACTGTACCATGTGTCCTCTGACACGTGAGCACCTCTTGTGTTGAACTGTACCATGTGTCCTCTGACACGTGAGCACCTCTTGTGTTGAACTGTACCATGTGTCCTCTGACACCTGAGCATCTCTTGTGTTGAACTGTACCATGTGTCCTCTGACACGTGAGCACCTCTTGTGTTGAACTGTACCATGTGTCCTCTGACACCTGAGCACCTCTTGTGTTGAACTGTACCATGTGTCCTCTGACACCTGAGCACCTCTTGTGTACAGGAGTCTTACACTCACACGTACATATACATACGAGGACATCTACCTCTACCGGGACACGTACACACAAGAGGGGAGGGGGTAGACGGAGGGGGGTAGACTAGCCAGTAGACGGATCGATGACCCCCCCCTCCCCCCCTGTGACTCACCATGACTCACCGTCTACCACCACAGCACCGGGTAGATGTCTCCTGGTGGTGCCTAGGAACAAAGGTAGATACCTACCATCAATTCGTGTGTTCAAAGGTAGATCGTTAGGGGCAAAGGTTGTACATATGTGACTACAGTTACATGTCTAGGACCACCTGTACACATCTAGAACAAGCATAGATAACTAAAATCACGGCTATATGAGGTGTACTTGTTTGGGCAGACAATCTAGATAGTTGTGAGGGTGAAGCAGCAGGAGTACACACCCGGCAGGAGACTCGAACCCTAGCAAGCACAGATGGTCCACAACAACTGCCATAGCTGGTACACCTTTACGCCCTCACAGGTGTGGCCCAACCACGCCTCTGAGGTTGGTGTAGTGAGGTAAAGGTGTACCAGCTATGTCAGGTGTTGTGAAGCATCTCCGCTTGCTAGGGTTCGAGTCTCCTGATGGGTGTGTCTAAAGTTGTTCAACAATATATATATATATATATATATATATATATATATATATATATATATATATATATATATATATATATATATATTTAGAACGTAGATAAGAATAATCCACAATTTAGACTTTGTGTTAGCGAAATGTATAGGTGTTCCAAGGTGAGAAATATGAGTCAGGGGAGGGGGAGGGGGTAGAAAGTAGAAAAGGCAGGCTGGTAGATGTAGATGACTCACCATTGTGTTGGAGGTCGGCGTCCTTGGCCTATGGAGCCTCACAGGACGCTACGATCTGAGGAGTAGATGGATAGGACCTGAGGTTAGTATACGTCCTCTCATCTACTTCATCCTATAATCTACTCCTATTCTTGTTCTACCATCATGTTTATCTACTCTTGTTCTACCATTTTGTATGTTTTTGCTGTACTAATCTACCTCTGTTTTAGTCCTAATTACTCCCTTATGCTAATGTTCTCTTACCACTAGTTGCTCTGCTGTAATTGTCCCATAATATTACTGTATGTGCCATCTACCTACACCCTTGGTGTGTACCTCACCTTCCTCTACCACTACACCTCTAGTACACAGTCTCTCGACATCACAATCCTGCTTCTCACACCTTATATACCTCCCAAGAATGCTAAATTACAATTATAATTCATGTTAAAGTAAAATAATAAAAAATGTGAAATTTAGTACACGTGATTATATATATATATATATATATATATATATATATATATATATATATATATATATATATATATATATTTTGTGCCCATCAAGCTTGAATGGTCCACAAGCTAACACGCATCAGAAAACTCTTTTCCGATGAAGGATTCGAACCCAAACAGCCAGGGCTCCATGCCCTGTGGTTTCTCCAGTACTATAACTCTGAACCACACTGACTGTACAAAAGAATTGGAAGCAGTCTGACCCTTAACCCATTTCCCGACAACACTCAGTGACTTTTTGGGCACAGATATTTCATCAAATCCTACTGGAACCACACGAGTATTATTTGTGATACATAAATGATACTCGCGTGTCCCCAGCAACATGTTAGAGAAATATATGTAGTAGACATAATAGAGGAAAATAGATTGGTTAGAAAGGAGGGGCCCAGGAGCTAATAGCTCGATTCTGCAGGCACAGGAAGTAAATACACGCCGCAGACGCGCTGCTAACTTGTTTACATGCCATCAGCTGCCAATGTCCTCTTATTATCATACGGCGTCATCTTATTGTACAGCGTTACCTTATTGTTGATCAGCGACGTGTTATCGTACACCGCCACCTTATTATCGTTCAGCGACGTATTATACACCGTCATTTTATTATCGTTCAGCGACGTATTATCATACACCGTCACCTTATTATCGTTCAGCGACGTATCATACACCGTCACCTTATTATCGTTCAGCGACGTATCATACACCGTCACCTTATTATCGTTCAGCGACGTATTATCATACACCGTCACCTTATTATCGTTCAGCGACGTACTATCATACACCGTCACCTTATTATCGTTCAGCGTGGTATATTTATCGTACAGTGTCGCCTTATTATCGCACAGCGGCCTTATTATGGTATGGTGAAAGGAGAGTTATCTGAGCTTGGCGCCATGTTATCTCACACACACATACGCATTAACGGTAGAGCAGATAAAGCGGGAGTATCTCTTGCTATCTATATAAGACGAAGTGGAAGTGGTCAGGCGGGTCCACACACTACTTCATTTAAAGTATTATTGTCCGTGTTAAACGTGTTATCCCTATAATTTGTCAGGTAGCAGTAGACAGGTTACCAGGAACTGTGGCCTGCATCCTGGGCACCGTCACCAGGTATCTTCAGATGATTTCGGGGCTTTAGTGTCCCCGCGGCCCGGTCCTCGACCAGGCCTCCACCCCCAGGAAGTAGCTTGTGACAGCTGACTAACACCCAGGTACCTATTTTACTGCTAGGTAACAGGGGCATAGGGTGAAAGAAACTCTGCCCATTGTTTCTCGCCGGCGCCTGGGATCGAACCCGGGACCACAGGATCACAAGTCCAGTGTGCTGTCCGCTCGGCCGACGGGCTCCCTGGGAAGTAACTATGGAAGTACCTGGATGATGAAAGTCTAAGTACATGGTTCTGCCAATTTATATATATGAAAAAGACTAAAGACTAACAAATCCCGCTTAATGCCCCAAGAAGACAAGAGTGGTGGTGAAGGCTGGGCAGATGGTGCCCCCCCTGAGTGTTCACAACCTGGTTGATAACATTCAACATAACACACTGTTATCCAAGCTTGTGAAACATGGAGGAGGAGTAACAGCCAGGGCGGTCAGAGAGTACCTCCATGATAGGAACCAAAGGGTTAAGATGAGTTAAGAGGCCTCACAGGGAAGAGAAGTCAGCAGCGTCAATATTGACACCAACTGTCCCTCCTCATGTCCATGACCTTAATGAGGAAGATGAGGCAGTTATGTCCCGTGACCCATAATTGACCTGGGACGACCCATACAAGGTCACGGGCGGTCGCTGACAGTCACTACACTTCAAGGGGGACATAGTATAAGGCAGGGGGGGGGGGGATAATACAATCTGATACAATAGTTTCAAAATAATAGTCACTGCATTATACAACCGGGAACAGTGTGCGTGCAGCGACGCCCAACAGTCTGGTGGACCAGTCCGTCAAGCAAGTGGTCTGATCAGAATGTAAAGTCACGTCCACCCAAGGGAACCAGAGAGGAACAACCAACCACTACACAAACAAACGTATAAACCAATTAGATAAAGACAATCACAATCCGGGTAATAATAACTAAAGAGGTTCCCAGGCAAGTGTAGCAACCTTTAAAACAATCTCTTTAGTTCGTGGTGGAAGAGTTGTTCATTATTTACAACATATGTCAGACCTAACAGGAGTATGCAGCGACCCCTTGCTGCCCAAATCTAAAGACGCATATTAACGTTACCAATCGTAATAAATGCAACAATATGTATACTAATTTGTTGAAACATGAGCAATGTTGAAAGATTAGTCTCTTAACATTTATAGACTGGAAGACAGATGAAGTGTGGACACGGCACTGGACACGGCACTGGACACAGCACTGGACACGGCACTGGACACAGCACTGGACACAGCACTGGACACGGCACTGGACACAGCACTGGACACAGCACTGGACACGGCACTGGACACTGGACACAGCACTGGACACAGCACTGGGACACAGCACTGGACACAGCACTGGACACAGCACTGGACACGGCACTGGACACAGCACTGGACACAGCACTGGACACGGCACTGGACACAGCACTGGACACGGCACTGGACACAGCACTGGACACGGCACTGGACACGGCACTGGACACGGCACTGGACACGGCACTGGACACAGCACTGGACACAGCACTGGACACGGCACTGGACACAGCACTGGACACAGCACTGGACACGGCACTGGACACGGCACTGGACACGGCACTGGACACAGCACTGGACACGGCACTGGACACGGCACTGGACACAGCACTGGACACGGCACTGGACACGGCACTGGACACGGCACTGGACACAGCACTGGACACGGCACTGGACACGGCACTGGACACAGCACTGGACACAGCACTGGACACGGCACTGGACACGGCTGGACACGGCACTGGACACACGGCACTGGACACGGCACTGGACACGGCACTGGACACAGCACTGGACACAGCACTGGACACAGCACTGGACACAGCACTGGACACAGCACTGGACACGGCACTGGACACGGCACTGGACACGGCACTGGACACGGCACTGGACACGGCACTGGACACGGCACTGGACACGGCACTGGACACAGCACTGGACACGGCACTGGACACGGCACTGGACACAGCACTGGACACAGCACTGGACACGGCACTGGACACGGCACTGGACACGGCACTGGACACGGCACTGGACACGGCACACTGGACACGGCACTGGACACAGCACTGGACACGGCACTGGACACGGCACTGGACACAGCACTGGGCACTGGACACGGCACTGGACACGGCACTGGACACGGCACTGGACACGGCACTGGACACGGCACTGGACACAGCACTGGACACAGCACTGGACACAGCACTGGACACAGCACTGGACACGGCACTGGACACAGCACAGCACCCTTCAGAGCAGGAGAGATTGCTGAAATAGAGGGAATACAGAGAACATATACGGCACGCATAGACGAGATAAAGCACCTAAATTATTGGGATCGTCTCAAAGCTCTCCAAATGTACTCACTAGAAAGAAGACGAGAGAGATACCAAATAATATACACATGGAAAATACTGGAGGGCCAGGTCCCTAATCTACACAGTAAAATAACAACATACTGGAGTGAACGATATGGAAGAAAATGCAGAATAGAACCAGTGAAGAGCAGAGGTGCCATAGGCACAATCAGAGAACACTGTATGAACATCAGAGGTCCACGGTTGTTCAACGTCCTCCCAGCAAGCATAAGAAATATTGCCGGAACAACCGTGGACATCTTTAAGAGGAAACTAGATTTATTCCTCCAAGGAGTGCCGGACCAACCGGGCTGTGGTGGGTATGTGGGCCTGCGGGCCGCTCCAAGCAACAGTCTGGTGGACCAAACTCTCACAAGTCAAGCCTGGACTCGGGCCGGGCTTGGGGAGTAGAACAACTCCCAGAACCCCATCAACCAGGTATCAAGCAGGACACAGGACGGGACAGCACACAGCTCCTCACCTAGACACCACAGTAATCCCCACTGTCAGCCTTGACACTTTACAATGTGTGGGGCGGGGGGGGGGGGGGCTGCCTGGTGGGCGGGGCTAGTGTGACCAGAGGGGCGGGGCTAGTGTGACCGGAGGGGGGAGGGGCGGGGCTAGTGTGACCGGAGGGGGGAGGGGGGGGCGAGGCTAGTGTGACCAGAGGGGGGAGGGGGGGCGGGGCTAGTATGACCGGAGGAGGGGGGGCAGAGGCTGTACACTATACGCCACTCTAGGCCTATCTCAAACTATAACAACCTGGTTATAATTGAGGAAGAAGAGTTTAAGTAGGTGATGACACTACACATAAGTTTTGTGTTGTACACAAAGTAGAACACGTGTTCCATGGTACGATATCTACACCACATGTTGTTGTTTCACATTTAGCTACTCAGAACGAAGTGTCCATGTAGCACGGGCTATGGTGAGCCCGTAATCTACACCACAGTACCATATCTAACTCACAGTACCGTATGTAAACCATGGTACCATATCTAAATTCCTTT